AACAACTTCTACTTGTTCAGTTCACCAATCTTCTTCAGAATGTATGAAAAATGAATAGACTCCTCCTTAGAGTGTGTTTGGTTGTGATTGCAAACACTATTCATCCCGCCCTGTTCTGATAAAAATACACTACTTTCTCTTGAAGAATATTGCTGTATATTTTTATAATTTTATAATCAAAAGAATGAATGATTTTACAATATATAAAATCCTAATATATTAAAACTATACAAAATACCTAAACTGCCTTCATACTATTATTATAAATACAAAAATATCCCTATACATAATATATCTAACATTCCCCCTCAAATTGGAGAATACAAATCGTATGATCCAAGTTTGTCACATAAAAATTTAATTCGAGGACCTCTAAGAGATTTGGTAAGAATGTCTGTAAGTTGCTCATTCGAAGCAACATGGTGAGTGGCGATGCATCCATATAATACCTTCTCCCGAATAAAATGACAATCAATCTCTATATGTTTAGTCCTCTAGGAAACACTAGATTAGACGCAATATGCAAGGCATCTTGATTGTCACAAAAGAGTTTCATTTATGAAACTTCCACTATTTTAAGCTCATGAAGAAGCTATTTTACCCAAATAAGTTCATATGTCGCTAATGCCATGGCTCGATATTCTGCCTCTGCACTTGAGCGAGCAACAACATTCTGTTTCTTACTTTTCCATGAGATAAGCTTACCTCCCACAAATATGCAATATCCCGAAGTAGAGTGTCTATCAACTGGGGATCCTGCCCAATCAGCATCTGAGTAGCCAATTACTTCAGTGTGACATTGATTGGTGTACAATAATCCTCTACCAAGAGACCCTTTGATGTACTTCAAGATTCGAATGGCAGCATCTAAGTGACTATCGCATGGAGACTGAAGAAATTGACTCACAACACTTACAGCAAAAGAGATATCAGGTCGAGTAAGTGTGAGATAGTTAAGCTTACCAACCATTCTACGATATCTTTCTGTGTCAGCTAATTGCTCCCCCTGTCCCAGTAGAAGCTTCAGATTTGGATCCATGGGAGAGTCTACTGGCTTGCAGTCAGACAAACCAGTTTCTTCAAGAATATCCAATGCGTACTTCCGTTGTGAAAGACAATACCATCATGTGATTGAGCAATCACAATACCAAGAAAGTACTTCAATGGTCCCATATCCTTAGTTTGAAAATGCTTAAATAGATGTTGCTTTAATTGAGTGGCCTCTTCTTGATCATTTCCGGTGATAAAAATATCATCAATGTACACAAGAAGGTATAAACACTTACCACTTGATGTGTGCTTATAAAAAACAAAATGGTCTAATGCACTTCGGATCATGCCAAACTCCTTTATAACACTGCTAAATCGACCAAACCAAGCACGCGGAGATTGTTTCAATCCATAAAGCGAACAACGTAGTTTGCAAACAAAAGAAGACTCCCCCTGAGCAACAAATCCAGGTGGTTGCTCCATATAAATTTCCTTTTGAAGTTCGCCATGTAAAAATGCATTCTTAATATCAAGCTGATGAAGAGGCCAGGAATGCATAGCAGCCTAAGTAAGAAAAAGACGGATCGAAGACATTTTGGCAACAGGTGAAAAGGTTTCAATATAATCCTCACCAAAGACCTGTGTGAAGCCCTTAGCCACCAAACGGGCCTTGAGACGAGCAACTTGACCATCTGCATCAACCTTAACTGCATAAACCCAACGATAAGCCATGGGAGACTTACCTAAGGAAAAGGTACCAAGTCCCAAGTACCATTAGCGTGCAAAACAACCATTTCATCTACCATTGCCTGTCGCCAACCTGGGTGAGAAAAAGCTTCACGAAGGGATTTTGGAAGGGAGATGAAAGATAAGTTTGACACAAAGGTATAGTATGTGGGAGACAAACTATGAAAACTAAGAAAATTGTAAATGGGATGAGGATTACGAGAAGAACGAGTACCTCGTCGTAATGGTGCAGGATCCGGTAGAATAGAAGCCGCATAAGAAGAAGACAATGGCAAGTCTTAAGAGCCATAGACGCTGGAGGAACATGAGCGGTAGAACCATCGGAAGGGAGCACTTGCGAGCGAGGACGACGACTATAAACCTGAAGAGGTGGACGCAAAAGAAGAGGAGAAGAGAAAGGAATAGGTAACACGTAGCTGACATACGATATCAAAGATGACAGAGAGAAATACGGTATGGACTCAAAAAAGGTAAATCAGCTGAAAAGTAATACCTACGAGTCTCATGAGAGAAACACTTATAACCCTTTCAAACCTAGAATAGCCAAGGAAAACACACTTCAGCGCACGTGGAGCTAACTTATCCCGACCCGATGAGTGATCATGCACAAATGCAGTACACCCAAAGACACGAAGGGATAAATGATATAAAGGATCTTGAGGGAACAATACATGGTGGAGAATTTTATTTTGGAGAACCGAGGATGGCATGCGGTTGATAAGATAACAGGCGGTAAGAACAACATCAACCCAAAATCGGAAAGGAACATGATGATGCACAAGCAAAGTACGAGCAGTCTCAATTAGGTGGCAATTTTTGTGTTCAGCCAACCCATTTTGCTGAGGAGTTCAGGCACAAGAAGACTGATGTAAAATATCATGAGATGACATAAACTGAGTCATAGGAGTAGAGAAGTATTCAGTAGCATTATCCGTCCGAATTATTTTAAGGGAAACACCAAACTGATTTTGAATTTCAGCATAAAATGTTGCAAAGACAAAAAATGGTTCGGAACGAGCTTTCATCAAATAAAGCCAAGTACATCTTGAGAAATCATCAACAAAGGTAGCAAAGTACCGAAACCCAAATACAAAAGTAGTTCGACACGGACCCTATATATCATAGTGGACTAAAGCAAAAGACATATCAACCTAATTATTAACCTGTCGTGGAAACGAAGCGAGTTTGTTTTCCTAGCAGACACGACTCACAGGATAATGAAGATAAACTAGAAAGACTTGGAACAAGCCGACGCAACTTAGAGAGAGTCGGATGACCCAGCCGTTGGTGTAGAAGTTGAGGAGAACTGGCAGTGGAACATGCAATTGAGAGTGAATGCGGTGGAGGGTGGTCAAAGTGATACAATCCATGGAGCTCAAGTCCTTTGCCAATAGTCCTCCCCGTTCTGCGGTCCTGAATAGAGAATGAATCAGAGTCAAATGTTATTGAGCAGTGCAAAGTTTTGGTTAATTGACTAACATAAACAAGATTAAATGGACAATGAGGAACAAAAAGAACGGAGGATAAGGGAACACATGGCAATGGTTGAGCATCACCGACAGCCTTAAAAAAAACTGGTGACCCATCAACTAAAGTAACATCAGGTAATGAGGTAGACTTACAAAATTCGGAAAATAATTTTGGATTACTAGATAGGTGATGAGAAGCGCTAGGATCAAGGACCCATGGTCCAAGAGAGGTACTAGTGTGAGCGACAGAGGCAACGGGTGAATGAGATGACTGCTTTGAAGCTTGGTATGCAAGATACTCATCATAGTCTGAACCAGTCAAAGTGATAGAATTACCCTATAATTGAGGAGTTTCAACCTGCGCAACAACAGCCCGAGGTGGCCGGCCATGCAATTTAAAACATTTATCACGAGTATGGCCCCACCTATTGCAATAAGTGCAGCATGGACGAGAGGTCCCACGAGAGTTCCCATGAGGACTAGGATCACCTCGCATATGTGAAAAATGTGAAGCTAGTAGAGCAGACTTGTCTCCAGAATCAATAATCGGATGTGCCACAGAGGAGACACTTAATAAGCGAGAATAAACATATCAAGAGTCGGAACTGTTGAGCTGAAAATGAGTTGATCACGAACCAGACTCAAATCTGGACCAAGACCAACTAGTGCACACACCATATAGAATTGTATCACGCTGAGCAAGCTCCTTCGCAGCCGTTTTCCCTGGAGGTAAAACTAAATTGAGTTCAGCTTTGATGGATGAAAGTTTACCGAGATACTCTGGAATTGTCAATCCGAGTTGACGAAAATTGACCAAATTAGATACCACGCTGTAAAGGCGCTGAATATCATTGGTATATAAAGTCTTCGCATGTCTCCAGAGATCATAATAGTTTGTAAATTTGGTAAAAATTGGATGAATGCTTGGATCAATAGATTGCCAAAGCAAACTGCATAATAAAGCATCAGACTTGAGCCATGCGGCTTTCTCAGTGTCAGCAATCTGAGCGAACGAAATAACAAGGTGATTTGCCAAAACCTTGACCCATACACCACATTTGGACAACTTTAGACCAAGAGCCATAGTTAAAACCCCCAACCAATCGTTCTGTAGCAATAGCCGGGGTTGGAGAAAGAACACCCGTAAAACAAGAAGACATGGTTGGACAATATTTGAATTGAAGAGAAATCTAAGCCACAACTTAATAACAATCCAACTTAGGAGGAGAAATCAAAACACCCTTGACAGACAGCAGACCGAAGGAAATAGGAGAGGACAACGCAGCGGGCGGCGCGGTAGCGGGCAGCACGGCGGGTTAGGGTGGATGACGGGATAAAGGTGACTCTGATACCATGAAGAATATCGTTGTATATTTTTATTATTTTTTCATCAAAAGAAAGAATGATTTTACAATATATAAAACCCTAATATATTAAAACTATACAAAATACCTAAACTGCCCTCATACTATTATAAATACAAAAATACCCCTATACATAATATATTTGACACCTCTCACAAAACATTACTTCACAAATACTAATTAAATAAAAATTAAAATCAACATCTCATTTCAAAACAATTTCAAACCACAAACAAACAAGATTTTACTGGTTTAACAAGTTTGATATAGCTAAACCTAGAGGACAAATTTGGATAGAATGCAAGGTCACAAACAAACGCAAGAAATCAAATGCGAGAGTATGATTAAAATGATGCAAAAAAGAAGGGGATGAAACAAACAAATGAAGCAACGAGTGGTATATACATAGATACATATTAATTAATATTTTTTTAATCTACAATAAACAAGCATATTTTCACTCATCCGGCAGCAACTCTAAATAGAGTACGTAGCATTCTCATATCCGCCTCTCAACATCCTTGAATACAATATTTTAATTAAATAATATTTTAATATATATATATATATCTTATTAGCAAACGGATCAGAAGTTCTATACTCATTTTATGACAATTCAATATAACATGACTAGCATTTTCATATTCGTATCACAACATTTCATAGTACAATATTGATTTAAAGTGTTCGATCCTTAGTTCCATAGGGAACGTATATTTAGTGCATAGAGAAAAGCATGGCTTGAAATTGTTCTCATTATTGCCGCCCAGTTGCCATACCAAAATACCTCTCTTTAATTTTATCTTTTGAAGGGTGGCTAGCTTGATCGGACACTGTAAAATTAATCAGTGAGCATGCGCCGGCGCCGGCTATACTTTTTATACAACAACCTCCCCAGATGAATGCAGATCAACTTTGGTTTCTTTAGCAAGTCTACACAGAAAATGTTTCATCTGCAGGTTTTGATCCTCCAAGCATTTGATAGTTGGACCTCACATTCTGAAAACAATTAGATTAGATCACATTGATTGATAAGGGAAACTGAAATTGATGCGAAAATAGAGCAGTACCTCCAGCAGCGTAATGTAATAGAAATCTTCCATATGCTGCATTAGAGCACTTCCATCTCGGATCGCCCGGAAAATGTTTATTTCCGTGTTCAATATCTTCTCGACAAGTTCTTTCTCACCTCTCATCTGCCACCATTAATAAAAAAAGGACCAAGCTTTATGTAAATCATAACTGCAAATCTTGCAAATTACTAACCAACATGCAGTTTACTAAAGAATTATCTCTCTTCCATGTGGTTTAAAAATTGGGTAATTTACATGTGATTTGTAAAACCCTACATAAAATCTCCTACCAATTAAAATTCAATGAAGAATATGCTCCAAATGCTACAACTACAATTGAGATTTCAAGTTTGACTAAACAGACCGTATATTTCAATTGCAGTCCTGCTATGTGAGACATTATCCATTAAATTTTAACTGCTGTAGGTTATGTGTAAAATCTTATAAAAACACAAATAAGTTTCAATGCAAATTTTAAACCACAAGAGAGAATGGTGATTCTTAGCAAACCACAGCAGTATATTGCAATTTTGCCCATAATAAAAAAAATAATAACCTGAAAATTAATAACTAATTATCATTTAACTAATAAGGAGTATGCACCCATGTAATACTGTACTGCTCCAGAAAATGGAAACAATTCTGCAAACTATATCTTATCATTTTTTATCTTTTTGTTCAGAACACCACTTAGGCACAAACATGTTAGCTAATGCAACAAAATCAATTTTGCAATAGACCAAGCTTATCTATTGTACATCAGGGCCCATGGGTCAAAGAATGAATTCAAATCTATATATTGCAAGTAATTCTGTGGATTTTATACAGTATCCACATAAATAATTTAAACTTATACTTTCTGTAAAAAGGTGAAAATAGCTCAAGGCGTGAGAGGTGCTTTAGACTAGTGATGACACGCTTGTAAACAACTTGCTACACAATAGATCATCACTGTTTCATATAATAGAGATATAACGAAATAAGATTCGTGCTTATGATATAGAGAATGGATAGGAACATACGAATTCGGTGACAAGAACATCAGGAGTTGCTTCTCCAATGACATCACCTTGATATCCATCCTCAAGAACATCCATATTTTCCTGCAATGGGATAGCTTAAAGTTTGTGAAACCTAGAAACTATTTTGCAAATCAAGAGAGGTATGGAAAGAGAACAATTCTTCATAGAGGAGGAGGATTCGGCTATAACTCAAATAATATTAGGTTGAGATAAGAATACAAGTGGAAAAAAAGTAAAATAAATAAAAGAAAGAAAAAGGAATGATTTACAGTGTTATCATTAAGTTCACCTTATAAATGTAGATTTGACTTTCTTAAATTATATAGAATGTTGATATGACTTCATACCATTTCATATTTGAGATCTCCAGTGGCCAAATAAACTGGTTGAGCTACATGACAGTACCCCATCAACCGTGGTACAGTTGGTATAATGTCCCTATGGTTTACAACTCTCCAACTGTCCTTCACTTTCTGGTCAGCACACACGAACTAGTCAAAATCTTCACAAATATCTCAATTGCAATCTATGCAAAAATTTGAATAAGATAAATATTGATAGTATAGAAATTGCTTTGTCATGTACTATTCAAGGAATTGTTGCAGAAGACGAAAATTGTCCATACTAGATTTTATTTAAAGAGTGTATTGTCAAGGACTTGTTCTTTAACAGGGCCATTTGGTTCTTTTAATTCGTTCTATGCTACTGCCAATAAGTCAGTCGGCCTTTGGTAGTCCACATTTGCAGTTGTGAATAAATGTAACAGAAAAAGAAAACTATCCATTCTACGTGATCCAACCTTAAACACAAAACACAAACATGTCACTACGAGCTACTGTCAACAGCATCACCTCATTGTAGATTTTTGCAAATCTTCTATTTCCCACTCTTGGTGATCCGAAGTTATACATGGTCACCTTAATAGCTCCTCGTCTGTGATAGATAACAAAGATAAGGTGTCAAAATTAAATTCATCAGCAATAATATACCAAACTCAAAACCATTGGCTAATAAGTTTTGGAAATATATATGTGTGGTCAATGCAAGCATGGGAAATTTCCAAGTCTACATACCACTGAAAGTGAGATATCAACTAAGTACCCAGACATTTATCATGGATCCCCTGTAATGCTATACCATGACTTGAGAGGAACTGAAAGCTGACCAAAATAAAGGAAAGAAAACTAAAATTTGAAATATTCTGACGTCCAATGAGTATGTGATAGAAATAAGAACACAATTTTATAGCAATAAGAACTAGTTTATTACTAAGAAGAAGAACTAATCTTCTCTCCCCGGCCGTAGCCACCTCACTCTAATCATTTGCATAATTCCCCCTAATCCTGATTACCATTTATTTATATCAACTAATAAATACAATTATAAATAAGATTAAGGACTAAAGTCAAAATACCAAATAATTGACCTTTTTACTAACATAATAACACTACGGTAATATCATGAGTAGACTAAAGTGTCATTTTCCGCATTGTGTATAGACACGAAGCAATACCAGGACAATTGTTGCCAGTGCTTGCACTTGCAATTGTTCCATATCAACTCTATCCCCTCTAAAAAAAGCCTTGTCTTCAAGACGGAAATTTGGAAATTGGCCATGCAGATTCTTAATATTCATCCGGGTGGCATTATCCTCAGAAAGCCCTTGCCACTTGATCAAAATTTGGTTACATCTCGCCTGTTTTGCTGTTGTACTCGCTCTTCCAACACACGCTCCGATTCAAATATGGGGATATCACAAATATCTAAACTACAGGGCAGTTCGGATTCTACTAAATGGTCCCCGACTACTTTTTTCAGTTGGGAAACATGAGAAACAGTGAATCTGGCTGGATTCCAGAAGATGCAAATGATATGCTACAGCACCAATATATTTCCCTAGTTGGGAATGGCCATAATAACGTGCAAACAATTTGTGGTGGCCTGTGGTTCGAATCGAGGTTTTCCTATACAATCGAACCTTCAGAAACACTGCATCCCTAACATCAAATTCCACCTTTTGACGGTTTGCATTGGCATACCTTTGCATTTGCATTTGTGCCCATTCTAGATTGAACCGTAGCATCCGAAGCGCTGCATCTCGACCACCAATAAATTCAGCCACAACTGCTACTTTACATTCTTTTCCAAGGTAGCGGTGTAAATTCGGTGCCGGGCGTCCATAAACTGCTTCAAATGGATGATCTTAACTGCTGTGTCGAAAGCACTGTGCCCACATAAGGAAACCCCCCAATTTCCATGGTCGCTCCGACACAAACGCTAAAGATATATTTCAATCTCGGGTGATATGCTGAATTAAATTCGAGATTGGATCCCAGGAGCTTAAAAATCTCCTTCCAAAATGTGCTTAAAAATACCGCATCTAGATCAATACTCTTGAGAAAGGTACACCGTGCAACGGCACCACATCCTTATTAAATATTTCAATGACGGAATGGGCTGAAAAGGACATGCGTAAAGCAATAAAGTGCACATTCTTGGTTAAGCAGTCCACTGCTACCATTACAAAAAAGAACCCTAGTTATGAAGTCCAATGAGGTGCCTTCCCAAATCATTGTTGGAAGGAAATGGTTGTAGAAGACTTGCTGGAGAGGATGTTTCATATTTTGCTTTTTAGCAAATGATGCAACTTGCCACATAATCCTGTACTTTACGGTACATACCCCCACAATACATACTAGAGGCAAGACAACAATATGTGTGATAAACATCTGCATGTCCTCCACCAAAGGTGGAGTGAAACTCACACAGAAACCTCCGGATCCATTCAGAACCCTCCAAAATGACCATCGCAACTGACCATCAATCAACTCAAAGTTACCTTGCGTTGTTTCTTCACTTTGTAACTTTTCTTGGATTGCTTGGAGGGAAGGGTCTCTATATTGCTCAGCGCGTATCTCATCCCAACCTAGCCATGTGGGTGTGAGAATGGCTTCTAACTCCCATTCCACCTCACCGTGTTGAGACAAAGAATCAACTTCAAAATTGACACAACCCAGTTTATAGGCGATATCAAAAGATACCCTAATAGTTTTGCCATCCACGCTTGCTGTCAAGTGGTAGCAATTCGTTGTGTGAGCAAGTATTTCATGCTATGGTGATCTGTACGTACTGTGAACCGTCGACCAATTAGATAAGGACACCAATGCTGAATCACAAGAAGTAGACCCATCAATTCATTCTCATAGGTTGATCGTACGAGGGCTCTACCCACTAACTCCCTACTAAAAAAAGCGATGGGACTTTCATCTTGCATAAGAACAACTTCTATATCCGTTCCGAATGCATCATACTCTATTATAGAGTGCTTATGAAAATCACGCATAGCTAGTAAGAATGCCGTAGTAAGAGCAGCCTTTAAGGCATCAAATGTAGTCTGTGTAGGGGCTGTCAATTAGGATGGCGTTGCTGATTTCTTGTGTAGTTGTGTAAGCAAACAGGCTATGGTTCCAAAATGTCGAATAAATCGCCTATAATATCCCCGTAAGGCCGAAAAATCCCCATACATCCCTCACCGACTCAAGAATTGGCCAATCTACCACTAATATAACTTTCTCCAGGTCCATTGTCACTCCACTTCCCAACACAACATGACCCTAGTATTCCACCGAAGTGCAGCCAAAAAAGCATTTGTTGTTAGTTGGTTTTCCCGAAAAATTGCTAGAACACGAGATAAATGACCAAGATGGACTTCCCACGAGCGATTATATAAGTATATCGTGAAGGAAAACCAAGACAAAGTTCTATAAAAGTGACCGAAACTTGCATACATACTAACAAAGGCTCTTCGAGGATCTCAAACTGAGTTTAGTTGTTTAGAGAAATAAAGGGAAAAATATTGTTATATTATTCAAAAGAAAAAGAAAAAGGAAGAATACATTTATATAGCCATTTAGAAAATTTATCCTAACAAACTACATCCAACTAAATCATACATATGGATATAGATATAGATATAAAAATAGATATAGATATGGACATAGATATTAATCTAATAAATCTGTAATCTCGTATTATTTTATTACTCCAAGAAAAAACTAAAAAATATATTTAGTCTGCTTTGGACTACTACTTTAGGCTAGTCCCATAATATACAATTAGACCAAAAACAATATATTTACATATATATAACAATATATATAACACTCTCCCTCAAGCTGGAGCATAAATGTTGAACATGCCAACTTGTTACAATGGTATTTAAGTCAAAGGCTAGGCAAAGCCTTGGTCAGTAGATCAACATACCTTTCCCGACTCCCCTGAGCAACAAACCTAGGATGTTGCTCCATATACACTTCCTCGACAAGGTTGCCATATAAGAAAAACATTTTTTACATCTAATACCACAATGGCCAATTATCGCGAGCAGCCGAAGAAATCAATATGCGAACAAAGATCAACTTGGCAACGGGAGAAAACGTCTCAGCATAGTCCACACCGGAAATTTGAGCATAACCTTTAGCCACAAGGCGTGAGACGAGCAATAGAGCCATTAGAATGGAACTTAACGGATGATGACAGACGATTAATCAAGAAACAAATTGTAGAGACAGCATCCGCCCAAAACATCTCAGGAACCTTATTTAAAACAACAAAGCGCGAGGAGTCTAAAGGAGATGCCAGTTCTTACGCTCATCTACCCCATATTGATAAGGTGCATCAACAAGTGAAAACTGGTTAAGTATACCACGCTGACACATATTTTTGTTGAATTTCTGTTTAGAGAAGTATTCCTTCGCACTATCACTACGTAGACAACGAACTCGAACATTAAACTGAGTTTGAATTTCAGTACAAAAGGCAGAACAATGAGAAAAGACTTCACAACGAGATTTCATAAAATATATCCATGTCATTCGAGAAAAATCATCCACAAAAGTAACAAAATACCGAAAGCCCAGTTTTGATACTATAGGACAATGACCCAAACATCATAATGAATTAATTCAAAAGGACTATTTGACCTTTTATTAGACCGTGGAACAGACACTAGCCGATGGAGCTTAGCAAACAGACATAACTCACAATCTAAAGACATAAGGTCCGTTTGGATTAACTTAAAAAATAAGCAAAAAGCCAAAAAGAGAAGTATATATAATTCGATTTTATGTTTGGATGAATCATTATAAAAAAAATTTATTATAAACAACTATTTGAATGTAATAGAATTGAAAGTGTTTTCAAACCGTTAAAATTACTCAAAATGACATACTATTAATATAACTGTATTTTTCTATAAAACTTTTATAATTTATTTTTCGATTTTATTAATTATATTTAAAGATTTTAAATTATAATATAACAATTTTATTTTTAAAATTTGATTATTTATATTTTTAAATTTTAATTTAAGGGTAATATATATAATTAAAACATAAAATTATAATCCAATATTAAATTATTTGTATTTTAAAATTTATTTTAAAAAATTATATTTAATAATTTTTATATAATTAAAAAAATAAAATTTTTAGATTTGATATCACAATTATAATTTTATATTTTAATTATAGTATAATAGATAAATTAAAAATAATAATACAATTTTATTTTAAAATTTTTCTTAAAATATAATACATAAATCAATTATTTATTATTATTATTATTATTATTATTGTTATTATTAAGGAAAATAATAATTTTAAATTAAAAGTGCTTCTTATTTTAAAAACGACTCTCAATGTGCTTCAGAAAAAAGGACTTCTCAGATTCAAAAGGTGCTTTTGCTTTTGGATAGAGTAGCTAATACAAACAGATACAAAAGCCAAAAGTCCCGCAAAAAATCAATCCAAACGGGGCCTTAACATGATGAAATTGAGGGTGTAACTTCCTCAAAAAGGACAAGGACGGATGACCCATTTGGCAGTGAACGTCAAAGGGAGTGTCCCTTTGACATGTGTCATTTACCAATAATC